CCCCCCAGCTATAATGTGGAAACCTCACAGTTCTTTGTAAATTAGCTTATGGAATATAGATTTAATAAATACTGGTTCCATATTTGAGCACTGCTTTGACTCTTGCTTTAAAAGGGAACAGTCACATGAATAAATGCTCTAAGTACTGATGATTGCTGCAGAACTGCTACTAGCAAAGTCACATAATACTATGTTTACAAATTGAACACTAAATGTATCGGCAACAATCGCTGGTCTTGACAAGATGAAAGTAAACTATTTCATTGAATTAATCTGAAAACTACCGAACACCTAACTGAATGAAGGTGTTTAACTAAAGGCTTGTGGTTTTTTACAGCAGAGATGCGAAGGGAGAGCAGGAATAGTTATTCTCCTGTGGGGCTGTGGATCCTCATTTCTATGTATAGTAGTTTTTGTAGTTATTGCTTTGCCCGTGTTAATTTTTAGGGAACGAGAGTGAAATACGCAGCAGGCACCGAAATCCTTCCCTGGCTTTTTTTGTACATTTCTTCATGATTTTCCTTACATAGATGGAGACCTACACTGGTAGCGATATCAGTGTAGTTAAGCTACTTTGAATGAATTAACTGCAGTTGAAAAGGGTCCCCTTCCTGAGGGCGGGCAGGTTTGTGGTGCGACTTCCCCTTTGCCCGCATCAGAGGTCTGGTCCCTAACTGGAACAGCTTTTCTGCCTGAAGCCCCTAACACAGGCTAAGTTATGCCAGTCAAAGCTGCTGTTCTCTTGAGTACAGCTGGGGATTTTTTTGGAAGGGGTGAGTTACCATCATATATTGTGCTAAAAGCCTTTGCAGCTTTGTTGTTGCGGCAAGGCGCCTACTAGCAACCTTATGCCTATGTAGAGTATCATTGCATGTTTATGGGTGAAAGCATGCCTGGTCTAGACAAGGCCATTTGCATCAGGGGAGTCTAAATATGTCTGAAATTGTTCAAGTGAAACATTTTCAGTCTTTAGCTCACTGAATGCCAGAAATTACACACAGTATTCTACTGTAAGATCTAAAATACATCAATGTTGGTGTGGCATGAAAGGTACAGGTTATTTGTGAAAGGGCCTCTTAAGTGTAACTGCTTTCTATTTTAAATGTAATAAATCGGCTGTGACATAAAAGGAAGCAAATCGATCCGAGTATCAGATCCATTATTTTTCCAAAGTTAATATTAAGGCAGACTGCCTCTTGGCAATACGCAGTAAAGAACAATGCTGCTTTTAAAGGGTCTTGCAAGTGATTATTGGACCACATTGGATTTGAGGCTGACATTGCAAATAAAGACCCCAGCAGCAATTAAACGGTTATAGACCTAGCTTCTGAGGCAATTTAAATTTATTTCAGGCCAACTAACCCCTCTAAGTCACTACCTCATGACACCAGAATAAACTGTATGGGGGAAGCATCTTCCAGCTGTAGTAGGATCACTCGGTTTTACAGGACCGAGGATGACAAAGTCGCACGTGTACACATATGTACTCGAGAAGCGGTTTTGGGGCAGCACGAAGGGGGCCCCCAGGGTGGCTGTACTCGGGAGAAACTGATTTCCCAGCAAAACACCCACGGAGAAGCCGCGGCTCTGCAGGTGGGCTGAGGCCGGCGGCGGCTTTCGCTCAGGTGTCGCTTATTTGTTGGCGGCGGCGGCGGCGTTTTCCTTCTCCTCCTTTGTTCCTTTAATTTTTCTCCCATCTCGCGGGCGGCCCGCCCGCCCGCCCGGACCCGCAGACAGCCCCCGGAGCACATGTGCGTGTCACAGCCGGGCCGCCCGCTCTCACGGCGGAGGGGGAGGGCGCCTTTCGCATGGAGCCGCTGCTCGGTAAGTGAGGGCAGCGCAGCGCCGGGCCCTGTGATGCAGCACTCGTGTGCGGGCAGGCCCCCTTGCTAGGCGCTGCCTGCGCTCGGCACACGGGGCGGCGGAGGCGCGGGGCTTGGCCCCGCTCCATGGAGACCAATGGCATCGCTCCCACCCACCCCCACCGGCCCCGAGCCCGCCGGCACGCACAGCCGCACGCTTCAGCCCACCATGGCCCCGCCGCCGCCGCCGCTCCGGCCCTCGGCGAGGTGAGTGCCGGCCGCCGGGCTTCTCCGCGGAGGCC